TGGCCGCGGGGCCGAGGGCTCCCGCGCCCCCCTGTGCGCTTGCGGGTTCAGCCGCGGTGTCCTCGTTACCCCCTGCGCTCGCGTCCACCTCCCCCCTGAAACGCAGCGCGTCCCCGAGCTGCGAGGTGAGGAGCGCCGCGTCCTGCGGCTCGGGTCTGTTTTTCCGAAGTAACTGCGAACACGATGCGTGTTTCCTCGTTGCGCCAAGGTGCGGCCGGCCCGTCGCCTCCTGCTACCCGATGTTCCCCAAATAATCCCCTTGTTTGATTTTATTTTTCCCCCCAGTTCAGCCGCGTGAGAGGTGATTCCTTGCCTGTAATCACCCTCCTCATCCTCTCAGCCCTGCCTGATTACACAGGGTCCTCTCCGAGGCAGCCGGCCGGCCGCGCAGGGTGCCGTGGGTGTACCGCTGATTCACCTCCTCCCGGTGCTGCTTCAGCGCGCCCTTTCCTTCATTACAGCTGCATATTGATCAGCGGCTTTCGCAGAACCGCCCAGACTGTTTCTAGGACTTTCCTGTAATTAGAAGAGCTCTGGGCGGCACAGGAGCTGTGTTTTCTCCTTTCTGCCTGCGTTACTTTGCATTATTCAGGAGCGGACTTTGTGGGCGCTCACATCAGCCTTTCGCTCAGCTTCATTACGCTTCCTTCAAGTCCTTCGCAGACTGCTCCAAATTTGACTAAACAACGTCGCTGTCTGCAGACAGGTCTCGCTGCTCACATCCGGGTCTAGTCCGTGAATGTATAATTACAAAATGAGCAGCAGAGTATGCAAAAAGGTGTTTTAAGTTTGCTGAGCGACTCTGAAAGAAAGCAGACGGTTTGGTTAACCAAGATATTAAACCCCCAGTTAAACGTCCCAGTTTGCTGTGGGTCTTTCCAACAGGTGTAGTTCCGAATGCGGCAGAATTACAAAAAAAAGAGTTAAACTAATCAAAGTCACTCAAGTCTTGGTTTTTTTCTCCGCGCAGCTAATCAGCGTGCCTCAGTTCAGAGTTATTTGCATGGCAGGAGGAAGAGCTTCCACACTTCTTCCTTCTCCAGCCGGTTTGGGCTTAGCTGTAGACCCTCGAGGTGTTACTTGTAAATATTGTCAGTGGAAATTTCTCGAAGTGAGCTACAGCCTGTGATGAAACCCCTCAACAGCCCTCAGTCCTCCAGTTGCTTAGGATTGCCCGAAGCCCACGACACCGCTGGTCCCATCGGA